TAGAAAATTAATTATTATATATATATATGTTATATTTTAATTTATTTGATTTTCTTAATGTGTATTTCAGTTTATAAAATTACTTATTATATATATGTGTTATATTTTTCAGTTTATTAATTATTATTATTATATATATATATGTTATATTTTAGTTTATTTGATTTTTTTAATGTGTATTTCAGTTTATAAATTAATTATTATATACATTTTAAGAATTGCGCTTCACTTCAATGAAGCGTGCGCTTTGCTTTTGAAGCGAGGCGAGCCCCTGTCGCTTTTTTGCGCGTCGCGCTCTCAAAAACACTGAAAAAGTAGTTGAGTCATTGAAAGTTGTTGCGGACCTTATAGGAGAAAGAAAAAGGACTTTACACATGGAATGGAAGAGCGGAAGTTATATGAAACTTGGTTAGATGGTCAATGGGAAGTTGGAAGTCATGTGGGAAAGAATAGAGCTAATGCTACTAGTGTTGTATATTTTTCTGTCCGAATTTATATTGGGGCACTTGTTTAAGATCTTAATATCATGCAACTATCTAGTAGATTGGAGGGTAATAGCATCACAATGTGCAGGTTAGGAAATTTTGCAAGTCATTCAGGTTCTTAAAAACATTTGGTTGTTATGTAGTAACACTTGGTTTTTTATCCCTCTGTTTTGAAGATATTCTCTGATTTTCTCTAAGCCTTGGTGGATAGAGTTACCTTGTACCTATGCTGGTGGGAGATAACAGGTGTCCGGTGAATTAGTCGAGGTGTGCACAAGCTGGCTCAGACTCCACAATTATAAAAGAAAAAGAACAGTCTACTGTCAAACCTTATCATGCTACTTGCTTCATACCTACATCCACACACTTCCCACACCCACCATGGATAGAAGACCCAAAGTACTAAATTTGGTGTGTGCATGGTTTTTTTTAGATGTTGTCTTTAAGGTTGGACTATAGCTCATGTCCGAAATACAGCTGCCTCTTTTTTTGGGGCTTTGAAACGGGTGCCTATCATTTAGTTGTATATAAGGGATATAAGAGGAAATGGAGATAGCACTACAGAAACATGGTGAGAACACGTAATCCAAAAACTCTGCAGAGTCTAATTACAGATGATAAACGGTTCTAGGTCTTGTAAACAAAATTTTTGCAGATAGAAAGAATTACAAAATGCAACTGCAGCTCGTAAACTAAGTCCCTAAATAGGGATTACGACAGAGCACTGGATAATGTGTGCACATTGGGATAATTACGATGAGTCAGGAGCACTTGTAGAACCAGATGAATTGCTTAATGGGCTCAAATTATTGTTCCGTGGAGCAGCAATGTTCATCTTTCATCTTCTGTCACAAGAGAACTTCTGCTGTGAAACATAATTTATTTGATGCTCTGCCCATCGACAGGAGCGGGTCCTTTTGGCTTAACAAGCTAGAAACTTGATTGATCTGAATTTATACCGGGCACTTGATCATAATTTTGTACTCATGTATACCTGAAACTGTGAAGTGGATGTTAAAAGGTCTTTGGATGCAGGCAGTGCTTAATCGTGTTGGTTACACGCCAGAGATTAGTCATGGGGTATTGGTTGAGATGGCAGAGCATAAGAAGGACTTGGAGAAGAAGACAAAACCAATTCTTGATACTCTGAGAAGCTACCAAGACTTGCCTCCTGTAATTATTCTAAACATGACATGAATTCCATTATTCTTCTCAACTAGATTATGCTCTTGACTTTGAGACATCCATCTGCAGGATAAAGCCTTGGCAGCGTTGGCAATTGAGGACAAGAAAAGGCAGTATGCTGCTGCTGAGAAGTATCTTGAAGATGTGTTGCAGTCAGCTCTTGCCTCGTCAGAGTGACGTAGAATTGCTTTTCTGCAAACATTTCATTTTTCCTTCACTTGGGGTTTTAGTGCCTTACATATTAAACGTTTGGGTAATTGAGATTGTGATTAATTCTCTTTTAACGCTTGTGCTATGTTGACCTTTCTGTATGTCCCTGACAGTGTATTCTCAAGACTAAGAAACTCTTAAAATTGACTCATAATGATTTGTGTAATTTGAATAGAAAAGAAGCTTGCAAAGCTTATATCCTTGGCAGAGAGATACTGTTCTTATTTTCCCCTCCATTTTCATTTTCATTTGTGTGTGTGTGTGTGTGTATCTCTTGTTTTCTTTTATATATCACAAACTTGCCTTAAAAGTGAATATCAGTTTCAAAGGAGACGAAGTTGTATACTACTTATGTAATTGGTTCTTATTAACTTATCAGAAAAAGAAGGTAATTGGTTCTTATTATAAAGACAGGAACAGTAAAGGGATACTGCATCTTGTTATTCTACTGATTTCTCAGTTGATATGAATGAAAGGAATTGATATATCATTTTGTCTCAGTCCAAGAAAACAAAACGAAAGTTACCTAATCAGAGAAATTCTGGTTAACATTTGATTGTCGCATATCCAACGATGAAATGGTTAGGACGCAACAAACAGAAATAATGTTAAATTAAGGCATTCCCCATTCATTTCTCGATTTAAAGTAAGAATAATAATGAGTAACATCTAGGATTGACTCTTGAGTTTATAATTTCGATTTAAAGTAAGAATAATAATGAGCAAAATCAAGGTTTGACTCTTGAGTTTATAGTTTCAGCATCAAATTATCCTGTCCTAACAACTAAATCCTTCCTCCCCTCCTTCACCACCACTTCCACCAAAGCTATATAATATCTTTGAAAAATGGGAGAAGAACAAGGAATAGAGCAAGTACAAATTCAAGAATTTGTAATGGTAGAAGAAGAAAAAGATTATCTTATAGAATCTCCAATAAATCTTTATTATCTGGACTGTTATTTCAACCTCCATCCTAGCTCTCCTTACTTTATATTGCTTTGGAATTTGGTGTGGCCTTAATATTTTCTGAATAATTGACTTTTAACTGTCTGAAACTTGGATTGCCTGCCGACTTATGTAAAAGCTTAATCTATTAGAGATATCACACTTTTATTTACTTAATTATGTTAACATTGAACTGATACCATATTGAAATGTATGACTAACCTTATTAGAAATATAAGCTTTTAGAGAAAATGCACTTTTATTTACTTAATTTTGTCTACGCAAATGTAATAAAAGGTGGAATATTTCTCATATCTGTCAAGAGGATAGACTGAAATACTGAATTATGAGATATTTCTACATATACCAGGATTGATGGTTAACGGGCATTAATATGGAAATTTTATGCATCTTTTTATTACATCTATATTTTTAATGTTTGAGAGGCAAATTCAGGCAAGGACATGATCTCAGTAAGGATATGCAAAACAATGATATGGGGACACAAACCTATGCCACACTTGAAAATAGAAAGTTTGCATTAAAAGCTGTGAAAAATGGTGCGTTTGATGCCTCAATAATGTCAGGCAATATACTATCACAATCTGTAGTTATGGAAATTGACCCCAAACATAGCATTTTGGCCTACTAGTAGTGGAATTGCATAATAATATATATCTCATCAACGTAACCTTTTTGTCAATTGCTTTTTGTTTTTCCTTTAAAACTTAAAAGGGTCGGTATTTACCTTTTCTGTTATAACCTCTAGTTTTCAAGTCCGAAACATTGTACGGCTATTAGGACGAGTTCTTGATGTATTCTTACTCTATTGCTGCGCGCTACAGATGATGGATGCATTGGGCTTCCTGGACGTGTCTTTAAGACAAAATTGCCAGAGTTTCTTAACTAATCAAACTAAGTATTACCGAGGTCTTGCTGTGAACTACAACATGCTTTTATATATATATGGATGTTTTATTATGTTTACTGTCATTCCAGTCAAATATATGATAAAATCTACGTACTGATATGAGGCTACTACTGTAAATCTGAAGATTAAACAAAATCAGGATTAATGCTTTGATCTAGTGGCAAGTTTAGCCAATTATTACCAAAAAACCAATTAAGGATTTAGTACAAAACATTTTTATAGGAATTGGGTCAAAAAACAGTGTGCCCATGCAGCAAGGGCCAGAATTTGATATTGCATTACTTAAAGCAAGGTTGAGAACACATCTACTCCTACTTCGTGGGTAGGGCACTAGATCCTATGTCTGGTTTTGGTTCAAACTCTTCAACCAACTTGAAGAAAATTATCAATCGTGACTTGCCATTACAGCTGATAGAGTTTGTAACTGAAATGCCAAATGATAAATTGAGTAAACGAGTTCCTGGCACAGACCCCCAAAATATGAGCAAGTGCTGTTCCAAGAAGTCCACCTGTTTCTGCTTTGCAAAATGGAGAAACTGCAACAATGATATGGACCTGGGGAATACATCAACTTAGTTTTCATCACACAGTTTGCACAACTGGAAAATAAGGTTGAAGATTGGAACTTCTCGTATTCAGTACCAGGATACAGATCACGATTGGATACTCCTAGCTTGTAATGATGATATAGAAATATGGAGGTAATAAATTAATCATAATGTTGATACAAGCCATAAACTTGTAAAGTTTAACTGAAGGTATGTATGTGAACTGTGATTGTGTCCAAAATACAAGTCTTTTCCTTTTGGGGGAGTTGTAATAGCAACTCTTATCTGAGATTACTCATACTGATATGGTAATTCAGTAATATCGACTTCTTTTTCGTCTTGAGTCACCTAAGTTCAATTTTTTTTTTTTTTTTTTTTTTTTTTTTTTTAGCATGTTAAGTGAAAGAATAATTCTGCGATTTTTATTTGGTGTAATTGATTTATATAGACAGAGGGAACACGCATACACAGGTGCTGTAACACACTGTTAGCTTTTACTCTTTACTTCCAGAATATTCTTTTAATATGTTGAGTTATATTCTTTCAAAATATTACTGAATGATTTCGGGTGCTACTCATTTTCTTAACATATTTTAGTTTTCTTAGTGAAACTGCACTTCATATTTAGGTGCAGCCATGTTCTCATAAACAAAGTACTTTATTCTTCATTAAACCAAGAAATATATGTGCTGCGTCAATATAAAGACCCTAAAAACATATTTGGTTTACATGATAAAGTGTCACATAGGAGTACATATATATTGCATCATTAGTTAGTTGAATAAACCAACACCAGTTGACTCCTTTAGATTAGTTATATTCCAAACGTTTAGTCAAAACAAGCTTCACATAGCCAGCAGCAGCATAGTGCAAAGAGGCTGCACAAAACAAAGGCAAGATTAGTTAAGTTCAGGATATTATAGAAATTGTTAAGATAATTCTGTAGACTTGATTTTCTTAGCAGATAACTATATCTCTGCCTGTTAAAATCATATTTAATTTGCAGAAATTTTGATGACTTAACAAACTTACCATCCTTCCAGGAACCCTCTTTCTCCTCTTGGCCGGCCCTTCATCTTCTTCTTGTTCTTATTTGGAGTAAATTCGGCGGGATAGCCTTTAATCAAAAACAAAAAAAGAAGTGAGTCTAGCATGAGCATAGGCGAATACAGAATTCAAAATCAGTTTGTAATGAGTATGATATTATTATCATATTATGTATATATGTTTTAAATGTTATTTTTACGTGTTTTATAGTTCGAGTTGAAAGTAATGGATTCAACTGAACCACTGAACCGTCTTAGATCTGCCTCTATATGGGGAGGGGTTGTGGGGGAAGAAATACATACCTGGAGGATGTTGGTTTACTTGGTTTTCTTGCTTTTGCATCTTGAAAGATGAAAAACAAAGGCCAAGAAAAGATAAAAATGTGGGACAAAAGTGTATATGTTAAGTTACAATCAATTGATTGGATGCAATGTGCACTTGTTTCTATTTGCAAATACTACCATCTATTTATACAATTTCAGTTGTATGGACAAGAAGCAAAAGGGAAGTTCTCCTTAAGACTTGTCTAGATGTTCTGTTTTCTTGACAATCCATAGGGTAAATAGAATGTTAATTTACCCACATAAATGTGTTTTTCAAGAATAAGCGAATCGAATTTGTTGTTTAATCGTGTGGGAATGGCGTCATTTCTTTGGAGAATATTTATTACGCATAAAGAAGCCCAAATGGTTAAAATGGAAAAAAGGGAAAAAGAATGAAAATAAAGTGGGTATGAACTGAACTATGAAGCTGGTGTTTTGTGCTGAAATATTGATTTGTTGGAAATACTTTCCTCTTAAGTAAACTAGAAAAGGCTGTGAAGAATGAATATATTCTCTAACTTTATATGTTCTTTATTAGTGAAAGTTTGAAACGTCCAAAGTTTTGAAATCTATTAAGAAGAAAGACATCTGTAAGTTTTCTGTGCAAAACTGTATAGTAAAAGATATTTGTCACTATAGCTTGTTTGACCATGCTTTTTCTTGGCCAAACAAATTTTTTCCGAAAGTTAAGGTGTTTGGTCAAACTTTTAGAAAGAAAAAATTACTTTCGAGTAGAAGCAGAATAGTTTTTAAGAAATAGAAAAAAATAGCTTATCCCCAAAATTACTTTTTCTTAAAAGCACTTTTGTGAGAAGTAAAAAAAAAAAAGCTTATCCCCAAAATTACTTTTTCTTAAAAGCAGTTTTGAGAAAAATACGGCACATTTTAAAAGTTTGACCAAACACTAATTGTTGCTTAAAAGTGTTACGTGTTTGCCTAGATTTTCTTCTCATAATTGGTTTTCATATCTCATGAAGGAAAAGACAACATATTTACCATAATTGGGTTTTTCTTTTCCTAGAAGGAAAATATAATTCTTCCATATTTGGCTAGTCCCTTTTCTTGTAGTAAAAAGTTAGGACTTCTATAAATTGAGGATCATTCCTTCTCATTCAGTAGCATCCACAATGTTGCCATAAGGGGTTTGACAATCGTGTTTAGGGGGAGAACTTTACGGGACAAGTGTTAGTGTGTCACTTGTGTTTGCCTCTTCATGAGGTTGTTCTCTCGATATTTTATACTCTCTTTTATTATAATGGAGTGCTCATCTCCACCGTGGATGTAGGTCAGTTGACCGAACCACGCTATATGTTTGTATCTCTTTTGGTATATTTCTCTTTGTTGTTGGATTTATTATCGCTCAAGGTATGCTTTGCTAGCTTCCATATGACACCTAATTTTCTGGGGTCCTAACAAATGGTATCAGAGCGAGGTTCAAGACAGGTTCATCTTGGCGGGTTCAGTTCTATTCATAACCTATTTGACGATTATCGTGATTTTTGTATGAGAAATTTGACCGGTGTGCTACGCACGTTGAGACGAACTTTGTGGTGGAGATTTGGAGATGTGATATGTTGAAGGCTATATGAAGAAGGTCGATCAAGTTTATTTTGTCAGAAAATTCAGGCCAAGGGGGAGAATTGTTAGGTGTTTGTCCAGATTTTCTTCTCAAAATTGGTTTTTCTATCTCATGAAGAAAATGATAACATATTTGCTATAATTGGGGTTTTCTATTCTTAGAAGGAAAATATAATTCTTTCATATTTGGCTAGTCCCTTTTATTATAGTAAAAATTTTGGACTTCTATAAATTGAGGATCATTTCTTCTCATTCAGTAGCATCCACAATGTAGCCATAAGGGGCTTGAGAGCCGTATTTAGGGGGAGAACTTTACGGGACAAATGTTAGTGTGTTACTTGTGTTTGTCTCTTCGTGAGGTTGTTGTCTCGATATTTTGTACTCTCTTTTATAATAGTGGATTACTCTTCTCCGCCGTGGATGTAGGTCAGTTGACCGAACCACGTTATATGTTTGTGTCTCTTTTTGTATATTTCTCTTTGTTGTTGGATTTATCGTTGCTCAAGGTTTGCTTTGCTAGCTTCCGCATGACACCTGATTTTTTTCGGTCCTAACAAAAGTGCTTCTCAAATGATTAACCAAATACAAACGGCTTCTTACATAAGTATATTTTAGGAAAATAATTTTTAAAATAAGCTGATTTTAAAAGAACGGTCAAACGGTCTATAAGTTTCTTTCCTGGCCCACCAATTTTTTCTTTTTCTTTAAAAGATATTTGTTGCTTTTAATTTATTTATGTGGTTTTGATAAAAAAAAATTAACTAAGATAATGAAATAGTCTTTTAAATATAGTGCTAAAATTACCAATTGTCCAATACAGTGAGATAGAGCTATATAGTTGTTAGGATATATACTATTAACTATGAGTTTGGTTTAGATATAATATTCACTATGAAATAATTATTTATTTAGTTTTAATAAAGTTTTAAATAGATCATATATTAATCTGCATCCTTTGCTATGTAGTAGATGATTTAGTGTATAGAGTTTAGCTTATATATGTGATGATCCAAAAGGTCATCACTTGTCTTAGAAACAAATCCAGTGTTCCGAGGCCTAAAAACCTCCCTTTTACCTCACCTTGATTTGTGTGCGTGGTCCGTACCTATATCCGGAAAGCCTTCTATGTGAAAAGATGAGAAATAGAAATTTCTAGAGTTAAAAATTTGATTTTTTGTTGACTTTGGTCAACATTTTGAGCAAACGGATCCGTGTTCCGATGATCCCAGGAGATCCGCAGTAAAATATAGAACTTGGGCGTATGCCCGAAAATGAATTCCGAGGTCCCAAGCCTTTGAAATCAATTTTTAAAAGAAATTATTTTGCTGAATTATCTAAGAAATGAAGAAAAGAATTAATGTTTGAAACCATTGGTATCGGGCTCGTATTTTGGTTCCAGAGCCCGGTACAAACTTGTTATAGTATTTGAATGATAACTGTGAAATTTGGTGAAAAATGGAGTCTATTTGACGTGAGTTGGACTTCCGGTTGAAGAGTTATGAACTTTAAGTATTCTTGATGAAAATGTTGAGTTTTGAGGTTTAATTCATGGTTTTACATGTTATTTTGATGATGCGATCGCACGATTAGGTCCATATGATATTTTTGAGTTAGTATGCACATTTGGTTTGAAGCCTCGAGGGCTCGGGTGAGTTTCGGGTAAGTTTCGGGATGTTTTAGGCTTAAAACATAGCTGTTGCAGGTCCAGAGATGTTGCAGATCTCTGAACCCGCCAGTGCTGACCGCATTGATTTTGTGCTTACCGCGGAGGGGCCTTTGCGGCCGCACTCCTTTTTGTGCGGTCCGCGGTGAGGAAGAATTTCACTGGTCCGACTTCGGAAGCCTATATCTTTTGATCTACAAGGAATTTTAGATGATTCAAAAATGAAAGTTGTATCCTTTCGTGTCTAGTTTCCAGAAAGCTAAAGAAATTACAATTTGGGTATTTGTAGAGAAATCTATGGCCTAAATACTAAAGCATGTCACTGTAGTCAACATTGTGAGCTCCACGACCGCACTCCTTTTTGTGCGGTTCGCACAGAGGGTCTGAGAGGGGTATATTTAAACGAGATTTTCAGTTATTTTTCATTTTTAAAAACCCCCAAAACATAAGAGGTGGTTTTTCAAACGACCTTTCTTCTCCAAAACATTATTAAGTGATTTCTAACTCATTTTCTTTACTCCTTAACTTCTTTTTACAAGATTTCATCCTAGAATCTAGGGTTTTCATGATGGAATTGGGAATTTTGGATAAACCCTAAGAATATTAAAAATTGAGGATTTAGACCTCAAATTGAGGTCGGATTCCAAAATCAATTATATATCCAGGCTCGAGGGTGAATGAGTAATCAGGTTTTGGTCCGAATTTCGGGTTTGGACCAAGGGGGCCCGGGGTCGAATTTTGACTTATTGGGAAAAACTTTAGAAATCGTATTTCCATGCATTAAAATTAATTCATTTAGCACGTATTAATATTATTAAGTAACTTGTGGCTAGATACGAGCAAGTTGGTGGTGGACTCAAGAGGTAAAGCGATAGTTGAGGCTTGAATTGTGTTCGTGGCATCGAGGTAAGTGTTTGGTCTAACCTTAGCTTGAGGGATTAGTAGTTGAGTCTTATTTACTGTGTGCTAATTGGTGAATACGACGTATAGGCATGGTGACGAGTATCTATACGTTGGTGTCAAGCATGCCCGTGAGTCTTGTATTGTAATTGTTGTGACTCCGTTGTGGTTTATTGCGCTTCATATGAGCATTATCATTATTGTTCCCTTCCCGAAATGTTGTTTTCATTATTGTTCCCTTGCCGGGATATTGTTGTCATATTATTGTTCCCTTGTCGGGATGTTGTTGTTATAGTATTGTTCCCTTGTCGGGATGTTGTTGTTAAAATATTGTTCCCTTGCCGAGATTCTTTTATGGTTGGTATTGATAAATGAAATGGGAGCGGATTGCACGCCTGCAACGATACTATATGAAATAGGGAGCAGGTTGCACGCCTGCAACAGTACTATATGAAAAAGGGAGCGGGTTGCACGCTTGCAATGGTACTATATGAAAAAGGGAGCGGGTTGCAAGCCTGCAACGATAACATATAAAATGGGAGCGGGTTGCACGCCTGCAACGGTAATATATTAAATGGGAGCGGGTTGCACGCCTACAACGGTAACATGTAAAATTGGAGCAGGTTGCATGCCTGCAATGGTAATATATGAAATGGGAGCGGGTTGCACGCTTGCAATGGTAACATGTGAAATGGAAGTGTGTTGCATGCCTGCAACGGTAATATATGAAATGGGATTGGGTTGCATGCCTACAACGGTATTATATGAAATGGGAGCGGGTTGCACGCCTACAATGGTACTATGTGATTTGGGATCGGGTTGCACGCCTACAACAGTATTACATGTGTACTTGTTTCTTATGTCCAAATCTGTTGCTGGTATTTGATTTATGGCGTTCCTTACATTTCTCTACTATTATTATGTTGTTACCTGCTACTCCCCACATCATATTTCCCCCGCCCAACTTTAGTTGTAATTATCTGCTTCTATTTCTGCTGTATATGATTTAACTGCACAGGTTTATTTGGTAGTCTGGTCCTCCTCGTCACTACTTTGCCGAGGTTAGG